TTTTTTTTTTTTTTTTTTTTTTTTTTTTTTTTTTTTTTTTTTTTTTTTTAGTTTAGTCCGACATGAAGGAAACGATACTGACTTATCCTGTTCTTGCTGCGACTATAATAAGCATTGACCACTGCAGGCGCAGTGTTCCAAAGAGTCTTGTTAACAGGGCTGCCAAGCCGATCCTGCTCTACCCTGGTCAAGTGTTGCAGGATGTTCAACGTGTTCTCAAAGTACTTGTCTGGGTGGATTACGACCTGCAAGTTCGACCAGAATTGAAGCACGTCGTTTCAGTGTCGAGAAGAGGAGGTAGCTGCGCGATTCTCACATCCTTGTAACGTTCGTTCAGCAGTTCAGATTGTAGAATGAAATCGGGATAGCCGATCCTTAACAGTATCGCGTTCACTTTCTCCGTAGCCAGTTCTTTCGTTTCGTCGTCGATCCAGATTGTTTGATTCAAAAGCTCCCTGAAGGATCGTTGTATCTCGCGGGTCATCGCCAATGTCTACGGATGCGTACAGAAACTGAATTTCTCGAAATTGTTGAGCGTGTTTTTTGTGTGACGAGAAAGGAAGTAAGGGAGGAAGAACTTTTACGTCGTTTTTGCTTTTCTCGTCGAAATACTTCTTCACGAACATGGAGCCGACAGCCATGCCCATGTTGGAGTTCACTTGCGCCACACAATTCTTCCATCTGGAGGGTGCTTGCTCTCTTCCAAACAGAATGTAATAAAACTTTTGCTTGGCTTCTTGAAACCGATCGTCCAGGTTGTTCACTCTGTGCCTGACGAATCGCCAGAGAAGGTAATTCGCGATAGTCCTACAAGCAAAAGACTCGAGCTCAAACATCATTTGGTATATTAAATTTGTGATTTAATCACAGTGTGCGTTCCTTGTTGTTTAAGATACTCTACCGTGGGCTAGTTTTCGAGAGCAAGTTCACCAAATCTTGGATATACTGCAACGCGTAGACAACGACCGGCTCGGAGACGTTCGTCGGTCGTGCCAGAACGATCGTTAAATATCGGTGCCAATTGATTTGTGGCACCAGAGTCCTTAGCTTCCCGATGCTCATTCTTTGATATAGTTCCGATACGTTTCTTCTCTCGTCGGGGGAAGACGTGATCTGCGGGACGCGAAATTGGTCATCGAGCGATCGGTGGAGAGGATCGTTTGGAATTAGAATTGGCGTACCTTGGCGAGTTTCGTTTCGAATTCTATCAGTTCGTCAGCGTCTGTGGTGGCATTTCGTAGGGACGCGCCCAGCAAGGTGGAAATCTTTATCAAGTAATTCTTGTAAGCCTTTAGATAAATCGTGTTCGACGGCTGGAGAAAGTAGTCTCTCGTTGGTAGGCCCAGCGATGTCTGATCAAACTGTAACGAATCTCTTCTTAAATCTAACATCTTTATCACGTGCCTGTGTGCAAAATTATAAAGAAGAAAAAAAGAAAAAAAGATTTGAGGAAACGAAATGAAATACTTCTTGGAAGAATTCAGAATTTTCCCACCTGTATGACGTACTGATCGCTGTTCTTGATGTCCGGCGCGACCCACTCCGAGATAAGAATATCATTGTTATAAAGCCTCAGTTGCGCAACAAGAAGGAGCCAGTCAAACTTCTCTGGGTCCCAATCGGGTCTCAATATAGGCCATCCACCGAGCTCGTCCAGAAGCTGTATGAGCGGTCGTTCCATGCGTTGCTCCAAGATCTCTAGCCACATG